CATACAATAGTTAACTGGCTGACGAGTCGAGTCTAAAGGTTACATGATGTTTCTAGTTTGAATGGCTTCAGATTTTATCATCCGGATTAACGTTACCTCACCATTCTTGACGCTGAAGAAAAAACGGATAAGATTTCACTCGCTTCCCCTTTTTCTTGTTCATTCTCAGCATAACGATAGCTACTCGACTCGACTCTTTCTTCCATCTTAGTTTGTAGTTGATGTGCCAGCATAGTAATTTCGTTCGATACGTTCTCGTCTCTTGCCAGAATTTATAAGTATGGGGCTACGCTTTGTGCGTGCTGCTAGCTCTGCATTAACTTGTCTCCATCGCTGTGTTTTTTAAATATATGTAATTTTAGTCTCTTTTCTTTGAATCGTAGTAATGTCTTATGATAACACATCTGCTACTTGCATAGACTGCATTGCCCTTGGCGTCAACAATTTATTACTGGTAGGAGATGCAGCAAGCAGAACTATCACAGCAAAGGTAAGAAATGGATATTTACTTACTTATTCGCCCACTCAAACGGCACCCATTCTTCACAAACCAATTCTTAATCCACACTTAATCCATATTATGTGCTAGGTGTAGAACGAACCTATCCTCTACGGCGGGTAGAATTAGATCTCGAGATGAAGAATGTGATTATTTGGTTTACTTTCCAACGTAAAAATGAATGAATGCCAATCGGCAAGGCGAGTTGGATTTTCAAACCATAACAGTTATAGTAATCCATAATTCAAAAAAAAGAAGCTGGATAATAGCAAAGAAGAGGTATAAATGAACCTTGTGTCCAATAGGGAAAACCTTGCTTATTAAATTCAATTAGGGTGAGTGGGCGCTGTGTGGTTGTTACAGAAGAAGAGATATGTTACTTTTCATCTACCCGAAAAAAATAAAATCTTAGTGTGAATTGTTTAGCTCGGTTCAGGAGAAAGGGGCGTCTCCAGGTTAATCTTGGTTTAGTCATCATTGAAACTGTGACGTACATTCATTGATTTTCAATATGGCGAGCAGATGTGTTACTCGTTATCTTCTGCAAAATTTGGAAATAAGATTTAGACAATATGATACAATTTTTTATGTAGTTTGAGTTAGGATAAGAAAAGCAGGAGCTATATATTACAAATAAAAATATACTACCAAGTGGCTGATTCGTCGGTTGAGAATTTTCGGTTGGTTTTTCCCTTTTCCCGGAGCTCTCGGGGCGATTCGGAAATATCCTGATCCTGAAAAAAAAATTAACGCTATATTACGCATGTTTCTTGTTAATGGTTCATCTCATTGTTCCCTTTAAAGTCTAAAGTTGCCCACTTCGATTTCACGTAAGAAAAAAGGTTGCGCAAGACCTAAAATCGTTCATAATTTCTGTACACAGTTCTCACGGTTGGCTCTCTCTCCTAGCGCTCGAAGATAATGAAGTCTTTCTTGATTCTTATTAAGGGAAATCTTTTTTTTATATAATAAATCCCTTATTGACCAAGCTTGCTCAGTCAAGACGGCTTGATATTACCCTTGCTGTTACTCTTTTGTGCGTTTTTATGGACCTCGAATCCGTCCATATAAAAGCAACATCCGCCCATTCTCTACCCATATTGACCTCATCCCTGGTCAATAACGCATGTGTATTATCATTCTCTTTGTTGGCTACTAATGACGTCCCTTCGCTAAACTGAGCACGCCTCATTTAGCCAAGCGAAGCGCGTATTATATTGCTCCGTGGCGTGACATTGGCAGTGATGAGCTACAAATACTGGAAAAAGATGGAGTCATCCCTTGATACCTGGTGCAGCAATTTTGATGCTGCACTTTCTGTCCGTGTTTTAGCCTGTGTCTATATTGCAGCACCGTGGTATTTCTTGCGGGTCTCGTTGCCGTAATATAGCATAGTAGTGAAATAATAATAATAATAATAATAATAATAATAATAATACGCGCTTATTAAGGATAGTGGATGATTATTTTTAATTCAAAATTATCTTCTTCATCTTCATCTTCAATTTGCAAGAATATAGATGATATTGATGGAAACGGTGAATCTTTTGAGCCTGATTACTTCTGGAGCTTCACGATGTTCAAGCACCATAATAGTGGCCTCTACATGGGATGCGACAACTCTAGAAACGCAAAACTGTTTGAAGGTCAGCCAGTTGGGTATCCAGACCCTCAAATTCTTTTTGTCCTAACCAAAGTTGACTAACTTCAAAAGACAACTGATGAAGAATCATGGCGCTTCATGTTTTTTCACTGCGAAGTCAGCTTTTATGCAGCTATTACCTTTTGCAAAGGTATTTAAATTTCAATATTATAACTAGTAAACAGATGTCTTGCATAAATATATGTCCGACATTAACTTTGATCGTATCAATAGCCATAAGTTGAACAGGCCAAAGGTTTACTCTGGCCTTTATGGTATACTCATTGTTATCATGGAATTGATATGATCAGTAGGATACGCAAGTATACATAGAAGAGCTTCAGCTCTAAAATCTAGTTGAACCTGCACTCATCGTGCTTAATTATCTTTATTTATCACCAAGGGGGGGAGGGGGGGGAAGATGGCAGGGTTGAGGATTTGGTTGTGTCACAATAGAATTTGTCTGACCCTCCCTTGAGGCTTTATAGTCTTCCAAAGATAGTATGCCCTCTATCTTTTGTTATAGACGGCTGACCTCCCCCCTCCGGTGATAAATAATAACTTAATAATGATAAAAATAAAAGAGAGAGACTGTTGTAAATAAAATGTTTCTTCGACCCACATACTAAGTATGCTGGTGGGAAAAGAGTATTGAAGGTCCCTTGCTTATGGTTGCATACTTAACCAAACGGATCACGGTTCTATCGTTAGCCTGTTCAGAATAAAACCTCTGGATACAAAATGCTGAACAGACGTTCGTTTACACCTAATAAATAAGCTAGACGACCAATCTCCTTGTAAATATACGCATTAGTAGTCAAAAACGAATATCTCAACCAGTGAAAAAAACTGTTTGTATGTCAATTACAATTTATTGTATTGTAATGATTTTCTAACTTTAAATTAAATTAAAGGTCATGCTTAGCCGTCGAAGATGAGTTTTTCAATAAAATTTATACTACACTGTGTGAAAGAATACCTCCATCCTTGTTAACTGATCCAGAGAATTTGCAAATGGTTTTAAAGTAAGTCTCGGAAAAACTATGAACGTGCGCGCCCTGTTGTCTCAAATTTGGCCGAGTTAACTGTTGTTTTTTTTTGTTTTTGCTTTAGTTTTTGTTATGAAAATGTACAGCCGATGTCTAGATTCTTTGTAAAATTTTGTCTTGGTTTTGATTAATTGTTAACAGGACTTGGTGTCGTCCAAATCTGTCCGTAATCATACTCAACTGAGATAAAAAAATCGGACTCGGTCGTCCGATTTTGTATGATTACAGACCGAATTGGACTCCACTTAGTCTTATTACCATTATTTATAAGTATGTAGCCGGACTACAACAGTGGAAAATTTTCAGTTCCATATTTTGATTTTTTTTGCTTTCGTTTTCTGTTATTTTGTTTGTTTTTCTTTTGTTTTTTGTTTTTTTGTTTTTTTTGCCAATTGCATAATTTCAAACGCACTTCGATAAAGTATGCTAAAAAAATCCATTGTTCGGGTTACTTTTCAAAGTAAATGCGGCATCCAAGCCTTGGCGCGATTAATCAAAAACTGCGTCATATTCCGGAGACACGTGTAATTGAGAAGGGACCCACCTTAATAACCGCTTACTTTTCCCACTGCGTCTTTGTTTCCACACTGCTTGTTTTGACAACCGTCAATCCAGTGAAACGAGCTTCGGACTGGTCACCCGATATTTTCTTTTCGCTTCAGCTTGTCTTGCAGCTTTAGGAACGTCAACAAGTTAGCAAGCGTCAAGGTAAGAAAGATATTGGAATATTACATTATTAAACTAATATTCATGAAAAGAATAAATGCTTTTACCTGGAGTTTGATATCATATTATTAAAAAATCAATTTCAAATATCCTGAGCTTGCTTCTCTCGGTTCCGCGTCGATTGTGTCCACAGAACAGCAACCTGTCAATAGCCGGAGAAATCATCGGTTTATGTGAAATTTCAGATATTCCTCGCTTCCCAAACTGGTGAACTGGACTTTATGATAACTCCAGCAAATACCTCCAAAATTCAGCGGTCGGCATCTGTCGATACTCTTCTTTGACTCAGTGTGCGAACTAAACTCGAAAACTAAAGCCATGTTTCGCGCTTAATGTCCCGTTGAAACTTTGGATTGCAGCTGCATTCTCCTCAAGAATCAGTCATAGAACTCCACTTGTAAGTCTATGTGTCGAAGTTTAGCGTTTTGGAATTTAAAGCTGAACGATTGCACTATCGCGCATAACAGAGGTCCGCATTAATCATTGCGGGTCAACCCGCTGACCCTTTATTTTTTTTGGAAGGCCTGCAGGTGTAGTATGGCATGCAAGTGCTTTTTCGAAACCAGAGAGGCTTCAGTCTGTAGCAAGTCTTCAGCGAGGTTGTTAAAGCTTTCATTGGACAGAGGATACGCATTGACGAAACACCCAGTGAAGGGAACAACAGCTGCAATAAGAATAGTAGACGAATCAAAGAACACTCTCTTTATAAATAAGATTGAGCATTTTAGTAGCTTCCACAACTTCGAATATGGAGATATCGGTCTGAGAGTTTGGAAATGTTATGGCATCGGTAAAGGGAAGTACATTCCATGCCCATATGACGTAATTTATATCGAGCACCAAGGTCAAACATCCCTTCAAACCATAGAATCTCAAGGGTTTTATGATCCTCATGAAAAGCGTGTGGTCAAGCGTCGTTCAAAGGGCAGCAAGGAAATAGAGAGTACAACGCCATTGTTTGAATGCTCTGTGTTTGGATGTGTTGAAGTGTTCGAAACCTTTTCGCAGCTGGAGCTGCACCTGGACGTTGGAAAGCATACAGTCAGCAGGTTAAAGCCAGTATGATGCAATCAAAAGGGACTGAGCCCTTAAGTTCTCGTCGATAGATACTAGTACACCACTCACTTCTCCCGTGGATACTTCACCCCACTCGTCTTTACGAACAGGATGGGCCGTAAGCAAACCAAGGGGCAGCGTTAGATTTTCAGAGAAGGTAAAAGAATACCTAACGGTACGGTTTACACTTGGAGAAAGAACTGGGCGAAAGGCCGACCCCGCCCAAGTTGCAGTGGACATGCGAAATGCGAAAAATGAATCAAATGCACGTTTGTTCACTAGAGAACAGTGGCTGACAAAGAGCCAAGTTCAGAGCTTTTTCTCCCGGCTAGCAGCAATGCGGCGAAAAGATCAGGGTGTGATCGGGATATCACTGGATGAGGAGGAAGATATCCAATGCGTCCAGGAAAATTCCGAGAGATAAGATCTGGTAAACAAAGTTAACAAAGAGATCAAATTCTCACGTCCAATCTGCTACGATACGTAGGACCTCTGTAAACGTTACCACAATAACACACTTCAAAAATTCAATGTGGTTTGTTGAGAGCCAAAAAAACAGATCCTCATAGACAAACTGTCGGACGTGATTAGTGATTGTCAGTGTGTTTCTCAGTAGACTTATGTAAACAATGTCTCATACGATGGCTGAAAGTGTAGAATATGCTCTACAGATACAAACTACCTTTACTTCCGATATCAAGTTCTGACGGCGTTGTTATAGTGTAATATATTATAATATCTAGTAGTCAGTGAAATGTTTTGATGAAATCGACTGAAAATTTACCAAAAGCAACACTTATAACATCTGTTCATACGAAGCATGTGTCAAGTTTTTAACACGTTGGTAGCCGATTTCTCCGGCTATTGACAGGTTGCTGTTCTGTGGACACAATCGACGCGGAACCGAGAGAAGCAAGCTCAGGATATTTGAAATTGATTTTTTAATAATATGATATCAAACTCCAGGTAAAAGCATTTATTCTTTTCATCCAAAATTTTTCTGCCCAAATATTACATTGGGATACAAAACAAAACCATATGGCACAACGTACAGCACAAGCTATCAGCGGTCTTCTCTTTTGTGCGGACCTTTGTGAGAACAGTATAACATCGAACTGGATCTAAATTTAAGCGATTATTTCTTCACTTCAGAAGCCTAAAATCTTCATTTCTCCCTCAGCTTCCGGACATGGATAGTTTATATTCTGATTTTGGAAAAAATTCAGCTCTGTAGCGATGTTAAATGGGTGATTCACCGCCAAATGTGGCCAATTCCGACATTTGTTTTGACACCACGAATCACGATGGATGCCGCCTACTTTTCGAAGGCAATACCTAGCTATTTGTTGAAGTTATCATGGATTTCACCAATTTGGTTATTAGAAAAATTCTGAAGTGAGCCATGAAGCCGGGCTGCAAAGCGGGTAAGCTGTATTTATGACGAAATCTGCTCCAGTGGTTCGATTTTGGTGTAGGCGAAAAATCGCGAATGCTCGTACATGTGCTGATTCAAACGGTCATAACTTTTGAAAAATCGAAAACGTACAGGGGTTTTTGCATATTTTTGCCTATAAAGGTCTAAACTTAACGGCTGTGTAGGATAGAATCGTCAAGCAGGTCCCAAATCCCAAAACTTAGCGTCTAAATCAAGGTTATTTACGGCCATCGGCCGATGGCGATTTCTAGTGGTCAGAATATGCTAAAATTCGCCTTTTCAACTATGTTGAGAGGGCAAATTCTAACTTTCTTGGCAAACTAGAAAGGTTTTTAAGTAATCTGATATAAATTCTGTGGCTTAACTGTGCGAATCAAATATTTTACAACGTTACAAAATATGCCTATTTTTCAATTTTCGAGACGTTGCGACGGTCCCTACGGACTGGGAAATAATTATGGCCCGTAATGCAGTCAGAAAATTATTTCGAATCAAACCAAATCTAATTTATTTCTATCTATTTCGACTGGCAAAGACGGCCCTCCGATATAATTTATTTCACATGTACATAGTAAATGCATCATCGTGAGTGACCCTTGAGCAGAATATTTCTTATCTTCGGCAGCTTTATGTCCTGTGCGTCCTAATTAAATTAGCAAATTTTAAATTTGTTGACATTAGGCTGCTAGGAACCGTTTCAATGAGGTGATCATTTTGATAGATGGGCTGTGGATCCAGTTTACACCCATTCTCCCCATCCATTGGCACTACTTATCGAATATGGAGCCCAGTAAGCAAAAAAGGTGACGGTGTTATGAAGAGGCATCCCACTGAAAACAAATTGTTTTGCGATGGAACTTTTAAGGAGCCTGATGATAACAGTAAGTATACTGTTATGTTATTTCATGGCATAAACGGGTCGACAGGGTAACCAGCGATAAATCATTTCCTCTAAACGAGATTAGACTAGATTATGATACTCTGTAAGACAGCATTTATCTATTAAGTGCCGCTCCCGCTAAGAGCGGTCCTCTCGACTTCCCGTCGGAAAAAAGTTTTCTTTTAGTTTTTGCCCATGAAAAGGGTTTAGGACACATGTTTCAAAAATAGTTTAGTTGTTCTCAAGTTCTCTTCTTTTGCGTCGCCACAAGCCAAAATGGCCAGACCACTCCTGTGAACAGCGATCGAAAGTGTAAATTTCAAAGATTTTGTCCAGCGCGCAGCGACTGCAACAATGTAGCTCACGGAATTCTATCTTGCTACAAGTTACAAGGTGTATTCAGTTAGTTCACAGACAAAATATGGAAACTTCAGCTGAAATATTTTTCATACCAGCGTGATCAGAGGAGACCCTTCTCTTCGACCTTAATTTGCATATCAAAAATTCACTACTTTGTACGAAAGAATTCTCAAAATGCAGGCGTTAATCGGGCTGAAAAAGCATATCTGTGCATAGTTTATACACCAATGAGGTCACAGATTGCCTCAAACCCGCGGGTATATCTCTAGCTTCCATCCACCAACTTCTTAAAAACAACGCAAATCCATGTGTTTGCTCAATTGCGCTCGTGTCAAAGATCATTTGCATGACTCTTGGAATAGACCAAGATCTCCTTTTGACAGTTCAAACTTCGTTCGTTTATCTTCTACGTTGAGGATTTTAGGTTTTCACAGCAACTGAGTGGAGATTAGATGCCGAATTGTCATAAAACGTTGCGTAAACGTGATTGGTCGTAACGCTTGCGCGCTTGCGTGACTTACAAAGTAGACATATGTGATCGGAAGGCGCCTTCTCGATAATTTACGTTGAAATATCAGGTCATGAACTATGCACAGTGTGAAGAAGGTCAAAATTAAAAAAATAAAATTTGGCACTCTGGTCATAACAGACATATTGCACTGCTTAAAAGGACACACAAACAAGTTAAAATAGGTTGCAGTGTTTATATTTACAAAACAACACGTATACACTCCGAAACAATTCTTGCAGTTTCTCCCGAGATTTAGTATACGGAACCAGATGAACTAACCCTCCTTTCTGCAAATTTTTTTCCGTCATTAATGATGTTACGCTCTTATGGACTAGAACGGTTTTGAGCGACAAACTCGACATTTCCCTGCGACCATCAAAATCAACTGGACAAACCCAGCTTGATGTATTGCGTGACGTGATTGTGCAAACTTTTCTCTTTGTCATACGACCTGTTTCGCAGGTTCTATGAGTTAGAACCAAAATTAGTTAATGTAACGAATTAAAATCGAACTTTATTTAAATGGTTAGTGAGAATTTTATCGTTTAAATGTTTACTTGATTCACGGAAAGCAAAGATTGGAGTGGCTTTGGACACTGGAAATGTAGTAAAAGTATTTTTTAGCATCAAGAATAAAAAGAAGAACGTGAGGCAGTGAAAGGAGACTGAGTTTTCAACGCCATTTGTCGTAAAAGCTGCCACCAGCTTGTTATTGAACTCACTAAAATTTACCTGGAAGGTATTAACTTTCTTTTGTCGCGAAACTCGTGGATTTTAAAACTTTGAAACGACGTCCGATGAATCCTGAAACTGGAGTTTGATTCCATTGGTAAACTATGCTAGCTGGTCTCATGAGCAGATCAAGCTCTAACGAAATTTGACAGTTTTAAAGTTTTAAGCGGATGCAAAAATCGAGACAAAAATTCGTCATGGCACAATTTGTCCTTTGATTTTGTCAAGAGAATTCTGGTTTTGTCTGCCATTGCATATAGCCCAGATAGGCACTTACGAACCAATTTTTAGTTAAATAATAGCCTTCACTCTCGAGAAATTGCAAATTTATTACCCATGTGATCCGACTACAACTTAAATTCCGAAAACTTCAAAAACATCTCCAGTCAGTCTGGCTTTCTTTTACTGCCTCACATTTTCCCTTGTGCTATGGCTGTTAACAAGTACCTCCATCGCATTTCTAATGTTTCTTAAAGTGTTCAGATGTTTAGAAAATACCAATAACTGTTATTTTTTTCCATATCGTAGTCAAACTGACCGGAACGAAACAAAATTAACTTGTAATCGAGGATTTCGCTGGATAGCTGATAGTACTTCAAATAACTCGATACGTCGTCCCGGGGTGTCCTAGCGGATTTGGACCCCGCTAGATTTGGACCCCCGGTCCAAATCCGCTGGCGAATATGGACCCCCGGTCCAAATCCGCTAGGGAATATGGACCCCCCCAGTCCAAATCCGCTAGTGGATTTGTACCCCCAAACAAAACTGAGTGAAAACATCATCCTTAACGTTCTAGTAAAAATGGATGATAATTTACGTTCCAGTGCTTACTAAAGTATGTTTTTAATTCAAAACATGCGTATCGTTAATCCATACGAACTGGCATCCCGTCGGATGTTTCTTTTGACCGAGGGAAAATGGGCAAGAATTTAGTTTAATGTCTGGAGAGAGGTCGTTTTTGAACCTTTTCCGCGCTAGTCGAACACCACTAGATTCAAAAAGAGACAAACTTGTGACACTAATTTATTTTGTCATTGTTCAATGCCCGAGTGTTGGGACGACATGGTACAGTGCGAGTTGTGCGAGGAAAGGTTATACATGAGCTGCGAGAGATTTAGGACTGCCCCGGAGGGCGAGTGGCTCTGCATTGTCTGCAGATTGCCCGACTCTAGACGTCTTCGTAATTGTTAAGGTGTTATTTCGGATCCCTCAACAGTTAATAATCGTTAAAATTAGAAAATAAGATTGAGTTCGATGTAATAGTCTCCACTTTTGTTAAGACGTTGACAGTAATGTTGATTTGCATCTGAAAATAAGCTGAGAGTTCCAATAGTTCAGAATAGAAACATTTTACTTATCATAGGCTTTACGAACGACTTGTAATACGAGTAGTTTCTTCGTTCTTGTTCAAAAACTGTTTAATGTTATTATTTTAGAAAATCAGACTGAGTTATTTTTGTGACTGGACGCAATAGTCTCCACTATTGTTATGACGTTTCGTACCAATGTTGATTCGCATCAGAAGAAGCAAAGATTTATTGTAACAATTTCAATAGTTCGAATTACAGTAGTTTGTTCACATCTAATTCTTGCGTATACTGTACAACTCGTTACAATGAATGCGGTAGAATTGCAACGAAATGGCTGGTCTTTTTAACTCGTGAGTTGCGCGCATGCGCAGGAGCGAGTTGTAAATACGATGTGGAGAATGGCATTCACTCGCTCGCTCGCTCGCTCGATTGTTTGATTCCTGTAAACTTTTTTTCGGTTTTAGGCTTTTGAGTGCATTTGATAGTTTTTGGCGAGCAATAAACAAACGAAATGGCGACCTTTGTTGCTAAGAATTATGGTGGGGTGAAAAAGAAGCCAATGATAATCTTAAAAGAGTTTTTATTTTCGTTTAGTTTCAACAAGCGGCGCCAGCGACAGGCAGGCATGCAAGGATTCACACTGAAATAACAGAACAACCTTCGTTTTTCATAAAATTGTAATTTACAATTCTTGAACTTGAAAACAATCCGAAGATTCATTGAAAATATCACTTACTGCGAAGTGCTCTGAGTTTACAGATGTTCAAAAGCTTTTTCTGTTATGGCGTGAGATTGAGCACAAAATCGATCATTACGTTTCGTATCGTGTGTTTTTGGTTTCAATTTGTAGAACCCGCGAAACAGGCCATATGGCAAGGGGAAAAATTTGCACAATCACGTCACGCAATATATCAAGCTGGGTTTGTCCAGTTGATTTTGATGGTCGCAGGGAAATGTCGAGTTTGTCGCTCAAAACCGTTGTGGTCCATGAGAGCGTAACATCATAAGTGATGGAAACAAATCAGCGGAAAGGAGGGTTAGTTCATGGGGTTCCGTATACTAAATCTCGGGAGAAACTGCAAGAATTATTTCAGTGTATGCGTGATGTTTTGTAAATATACACTGCAACCTATTTTAACTTGTTTTTGTGTCCTTTTAAGCAGCGCGATATGTCTGTTATGACCAGAGTGCCAAATTTTATTCTTTAATTTTGATCTTCTCCACACTGTGCATAGTTCATGACCTGATATTTCAACGGAAATTATCGAGAAGGCGCCTTCCGATCACCTTTGTCTTCTTTGTAAGTCACGCAAGCGCGCAAGCGTTACAACCGATCACGTTTACGCAACGTTTTAGGACAACTCGGCATCTAATCTCCACTCAGTTGCTGTGAAAACCTAAAATCCTCAACGAAGAAGATAAACGAACGAAGTTTGAACTGTCAAAAGGAGATCTTGGTCTATTCCAAGAGTCATGCAAATGATCTTTGACACGAGCGCAATCGAGCAAACACATGGATTTGCTTTGTTTTTAAGAAGTTGGTGGATGGAAGCTAGAGATATACCCGCGGGTTTGAGGCATCTGTGACCTCATTGGTGTATAAACTATGCACAGATATGCTTTTTCAGCCCGATTAACGCCTGCATTTTGAGAATTCTTTCGTACAAAGTAGTGAATTTTTGATATGCAAATTAAGGTCGAAGAGAAGGGTCTCCTCTGATCAGGCTGGTATGAAAAATATTTCAGTTGAAGTTTCCATATTTTGTCTGTGAACTAACTGAATACACCTTGTAACTTGTAGAAAGATAGAATTCCGTGAGCTACATTGTTGCAGTCGCTGCGCGCTGGAAAAAATCTTTGAAATTTACACTTTCGATCGCTGTTCACAGGGGTGGTCTAGCCAAAAATCATTTTTGGCTTGTGGCAACGCAAAAAAAGAGAATTGGAGAACAACTAAAATATTTTTAAAACATGTGTCCTAAACCCTTCTCGTGGGAAAAAAATAAAAGGAAACTTTTTTCCGACGGGAAGTCGAGAGGACCGCTCTTAGCGAGAGTGGCACTTAAGAGGACTTTCATTTAGACCGATGGTCGCCCTCGTTGTTGTTTCCCGCCGAACTTTAAAAGTTTCACTTTCCTACATTTTTATCATAGCTACTATGACAACCGAGGTTAAACCGCAGGGGACTAACAATCCCCATTGTTTTGCCCTCTTATTCAAAGACAAAGATAAATAATACGCATTGAAACGTAATGGAGAAGGAAAAGAAATCCCAACCGAGGTAAGGAACTGCATCATTTTCCTAATCTAAGGCTTATTCATTCATTTGTTAATCAATTCTGTCATTCATCTATTTATTCCTAAGCCCGTTTACCTCGTAATCCATTGTTTCATTTGCTTATACACTCGTTAATCAGCTCTTAATTTTATTCTTTAGTTCTGCATTTCCTCCATTTCCAGTTGTTCTCTTTGTTTATCTTATTTACAGTTGCCACTTAATTATCCATTAAATCTTTGTGTTTGAGGCCACTGAGGCAAAAAGTTTCTTTTAATTGATTTCAAAAGCCTTATAAACAATCGTTTGGGTAGGTTCAACAATCTAACGTTAAGGTGAATTATATATACTTTTACTTTACCATTTTTGCAATAAGAGACTATAATTTATATAATACCTGTAATTAAAGTGATGGTTATCATCCCTAATTCAACGCTACATTCAGTTTTTAAGGAAAAAGATAAGATTCATGACAAGAGCAATGTTTTTGAGTTCAAGAGCTGCTGTGGCTTCAAGATGCTCAAACTCTTTGAAGAGAAACTCTACTTGGGATGTGACCACACTGGCGAAGTAACTCTGATTGAAAATTCTGATCCTTTGTCCCCGAACCCTCAAACTCTTTTCATGCTCTACAAAGTTGGTTAACTTCAAAAGACCACTGAATAATGAACTTTATTCTGAGTGAATGACAATGCAAATGAGCTTTGACAAGAGTGTAAACTGTCTACCATAACTCGTTTTGAGACGCTTTCCCTATTCCGGTTATTGGCTCCCTCAGATTAAGCCCCTCAGTTTATAAGCCCTCCTAAAACCAGCTACGAAATTGTATAAGCCCAAGGCTTAAACAGCTTCGTTTTACGTTTATGGAGTCTAAAGCAGTCAGCCCGCATTTTACTTTCGTTCGATATTTTTGATTCGTGCACGTGTCGGTCTCTTCCAGTTATAGCCAGACATGATCCTTTTTCGTTTATTTCCACCTTGTTAGTGTTCAGTGTTCAGTGGCGGATCCAGACCATGGGCTAAGGAGGGGAGGGGGGGTTTGTCACTTGCCTGCCGGCTTTTCTTTCTCCTGCGATTCATTTGTCTCTTACAAAAATGAGGGGGGGGGGCTCCCTGGGCCCCTTCCCTTGATACGCCACCGGTGTTTGTCGGCTCTGTAAAGCAATCTCCCTCCACTTAGGTTAATTATCTGTACCACAAAAAAGGACTCGTAATGGCGTGACGTGCTCCCTTAAGTACCATGACTTTGTGGCTCTCAATTTAATCAAGCTGATAATGTAATGGTCAAGTCTTTTTAGTAAGACCAATGTTTGATATATTACTTAAAAGTTAATATATAGCTAACAATAATCTGCAAAATGAAATTATTCATCCAACATTGAGCCTTTGTGTTCTATGATCTAATTACTAACTCTCCTTTCTTATCTCTATAAATGTCAGAATGAAGTTCGAGTTTCCCAACCCCCCCCCCCCCCCGAATCGAGCTTTCAGTTAAGTCAGGTAATCAAAAAAGTATCCAGACCATTTAGTTATTGTCAGAACGGGGGCCCTCTATGTCTGTACCACAGGGGTGTGCTGAGATTCGTCACTTGTAATAAAATCTAAATTATATATGGTGTTGATTCTAAAACTGAAGTTGGCTGCTTCACTTTACAATGTAGTAGAGCGTTCAAAGTTAGAGTCGTGATGTGTATGATGTTTGATGAGCTGTGTTCCAAAGTGTACGTTACATACGATATTTTGACGCCTTTATGATCAGAGTTGCCCTCACATAGACCATTTATGAATTTGCTAATATATAAGCAATAATATGGAATGTTATCGAGGAGCTCATTTCTGCTCAGTTAAATCACCTTCATTATTCTTTCTTATTTCACAGGGATAAAAAAATAACTTGTGTTAGTAGTACAAATTAGAGGGCATTTGACTCGGCACTCTTGCCGTGTCAAGTCCAATTCGTTTCATTAATTAATTTTGAGCGACTGGATAAACGATCGAAATGCCTGTGTAGGTTTAATCCAACAGACATGCTTATTCCGTTCCAAAAAAAACTCCCTGAGAGGTTTACGGATGTGAGATGCGATCGTTGTGTTTTACACACAGCAAAGCCATTTTCGGAATTCTGGTGACGCTGTCAAAGTGATGGACGGGACGCTTGTCACCGAATCATGTTTGCCGGTGAGAAGACGAGGCACTGGTCGAACCGAAATCATGTTACCAATACGTTTGTTAGCGTTTGCCGTTAGATTTTGGTATTTGCCACTCAGTGGTGACGCTTGCCATTAGAATGCTGGCGCTTACCGTTAAAGGTTGGCCCTTGGACTCTTCCCATTATTTGGAGTCGTATTGTCTCTTGAACTCATTGTTCCTTGGTTCTACAATTTTAACAAGTGCGGTTTTTATGTATTTTCATTGTTCTCCTTGCGTTTCAGATGTTTCACGCAGAAGGTAGGAGAAATTTTCTACAGTCATTGGTTGCGAGAAGCCTTACAAAACGGATCTTCTCTTTGAACTTTGAAGATTCGAGGTCAACTCCTCAGCGAAGTAAATGAACAAAAGTGATATTAAGTTTACTGACTGAAAGGTCCGAGGTGCTACTTGTGATATCATTTATGCGTATCTTTTAGTAAATTCTGTTAAAATTGAAGAGGCGGTAGAAGTAAACTCAGGTGGTGCGAAAGATATTTGCATTCTAAAGGACATATTTAAACGTTTATCAGTAATTAATAAGCGGAGTTTGTCAATATTATCATGATAACTCTTCAGCTGTATTTATCACTTCCCACTGCTTGTACTTAAGGGTAAAATAAAAGTCAGTTTAGATCGCCTGACCACTCAGTCATCAGCGTGAATGTGTTTTGTATTTGCAGTACTTAACCGCTGGAGCGTACCGAATGAAAATGTGATTAATATACTTTACTTCGTTGAGAGGGTGGACAATTTTGTGGGAAATTATTCACCCACGCACTTACAAACTAAACTTAGGAGAAATAGGAGTACTGAAAGTTCTTTCTATCAAAAACAGGTCGAACGAACCCTTGGTGTAAGCTGCTGATTCAATTTTCTGGAGATGAAATGCTTTTAAATACAGGTAAGCTGATGACATAATTTGCTTTTAGTCTTCAGACTAAGTGACTACATCTTGTTGCTTCAATGGCAACCGAAAAAGGTTTTGTGAGGATTTTTTAAAATTTACTTTCAATTTGCAAGAACCAATCATGGGAACGACGAGATATATGCTTTCAAACAAAATTTATTTGGACGTTAGGCCAAAATTATTCATTCCCGAGAATGAACAAAAATCTTTGTAGCAACTGTCAGTTTCTAGGACAGGTGCAATATCCTAGTATAGACTGAAAAAGAAAATGATTGTCTTTTTTAGGTAGTGGCTTTAGGTGATCATGACTATCTTGAGACTTAGGTTAAACTGAAAACATATTCAGTTTTCAGACTATATCCTCGTCCTCAATTGTGTGGGGGAGTGAAAGAAAGTAATGTCAATCGGAATTGGAATACGTTGCCAACGCTAATCTCCTTAAATGTTCCTGTTTTCCCTTTTGACTAAAGGCAGGAAGTGCTCGGTCTAGTTTGCTGGTAGGGTTCATTCTTTTTCAAGAGAAGAGGAACGGTGAGTATGATTTTGTTAACTCTGTACAGTATCTGATATATAAGTTATCTCCATTTGAGTTAATTTCGAGAATTCGTAAATTTAGTTTAAATGTAACGCGACTGAAGATTTCTCGCATAGCCAGTCAACAGTGTTAATCAAGCTTGGTGAACGTGATGGTTTTTCCGCTCAGAATCACAGAATTCAGGAGTAATTTTATCCAAATGCTCCATTTCCTTATATTTCCTTTCGATCATTCAGCGCCGAGGCTCAACCAGTAAACTTATCTTTAGAGACTTTATTCCTGCTCAGGTCATAATAGAGAGTCGCAAAGACCTCTCCTTCTCGAACTTCCGGGTCGTGTGCGTGCGCCTCTCCAAGTCTACCTAAACCATGACTAAAATTTGTATCTAAATATCTCACCTCACTAGCGATAATAAATAGCCGGTTTTGAAGCAGTCGAATATTATTTGAACAAATTGTGTACCATCATTGAATAAAGTTATAAGGGTGCAAAGTGCCCCGTTGAGGAACTCCCTTTTAGGCACACGTTTCAATTTTTTTTTGTCTGTAACCCAAAAGTTTGGGTCTACGCTTATGAATTCAGGGATGCGGAGTTAAAGAGTTACAGTTTTTCTCTTTTTCCTCCTACTTTTAACTTCTCTCTTTTCTGGGTTACCTCTCCAACATAGTTTCGCCAATTTCCTTGTAAACAACCGCAAAGTTGTTGTTTTATCTTTCGCGGTGAAGTAATACCAATTATGGCAATAACATGGTGATAAGGATGATGACTGAAGATTTTATTCTAATCTGATAAGTTTATAATTTTTATTTCAATCAGAGAAAGTGAGCCAGGAGAGGTCTTAAGGAAACAATTGCTTACAAACATGGATTTCAACTCATGGAACATTTTTTGGAGTTTGGCTTTCGGACTGTTAGCGATACTGATCGTTACGGGAAACTTCTTCTCCATCTGGGTATTCCACCGACAGAGATCCCGCAAACGATCTTACTTTCTACTAATCAGTTTGGCTGTTGCTGATTTAATGGTCGGATTGTTCGCAATTCCACTTTTTATAACTCGGAGAAGCACGCGACATTCCCATTTGCGGTGGCTCGTGTCAACGTCTTTTGACGCTTTCACTGGTTTAACTTCCATCTATACACTAGCAGTCATTTCCTTGGAGAGAATGTTTGCCATCGTATGCCCTCTAAGTCACAGAACTCTGACATTTCGTAATTACCTCTGCACTATTGCCATGCCGTGGATCGTAGCAGCAGTTTTCGTTGCTGTTCTTATTCTTCACTTTAATGGGATCATAAAACATCCAAGTTACAAAGTTCTTCTCCTCTTGTTCCAGACCACGCCATTGCTAACCATGTGTGTCGCGTATTTCTGTATTTGGATCAAACGGAAATCTACGAAGGGAATCCGAAATCACAGAGCTGCAAGAGAGTCAAAATTAGCCAACACATTATTTTTGGTTTCAGGAGCTTCTCTTTTAACTTGGACTCCATATCAAATGATAAATAACTTGTCATACTTTGAAGGTTTGGGTTTTCGGATTACTTTGACAATTTTCTACCTAAGCAAGATTTTGCAGTTCAGCAACTCGCTTGTGAACGTGGTAATTTATCCCCAAAGAATTCCAGAATTTAAGACAATTCTCAAGAACATAATTCATTGTTGTAGGGCTGTATCTCAGAGACCTACAACTGCACGCTCCCAACCAGCTGTTCCTTTGAACAGAATCGCTTAATTGCGATGCTGAACAGTAAATTTTTACTCAAAGATGGGGAATTTGAATTCCCGTTATGTTGCCAATAGCAGAAAAAAGTGATCTATCTTATTGTTATCTCCTAATTACAAGAATTTCAAAATCAAAGCAAATTTTCTATAGTGTGGAATACAGTGAATTTAGCCATGAAGGTGTATTTGCCTAATGAATCGACCTTAAACTTACTCTGGGTAGCTAGTTTCAAATGTGTTGTATAAATTAGGCAGATATCATGCCTCAATTGGGCAGTAGTAAGGCCTATTTTATTTCCATGCAATACAACTGAAAAATATTTTTGTCATGGATACAAGAAATTGTATGTGATAATCAAATTGATTGATTAATAAGTCAATTCAATATGTATTTTTCCCTTTCATTGTTGCATTATCATAGCAAAATTCAAATTGTTTTGGCAATACTGTAACGTATTGTTATTGAAAAGCAAATAAACTTGCTTTTGTTGCTGGCGCACAGGTTGTTTGTGTTTCTTGAATGCCCTCTTCTCCAAATTGCCAAGTGCCTTTAAGATTATCTCTTATGCTTTTTTCGCTTTCTTTTCTTCCTTTTCAATGTAAGCTTTGGCGTGGTGTAACTAGCTTACAGTACATCAACTGTTCGTAATAGCTGCTGCGATGAACGATTCATTCGACATGCTTAAGGATGCACCAAAGCTTTTTTAACAGCTGCCAACAAAAACTGAAAAAAAAATCAATTAATTAATCGAAGGCAAGCATGCTGTCCTCGGAAATGTTTCTCGATATGACTATTTAAGATTAGGCATCAAAAAAACCCAAGGATGTCAAATCAATGAACTCACCTTGAGGATGAGGCCCTTGGCCAGCCTGAAAGCTCTGATCTTCAGCGTAGTCATTGGCAATAGACAATTTAATTTCCTTCTCAAGGATGCGAGGAATAATAGAGATGAAATTCTTTGAAACTTGATCGGAAACGGAAATCTGCCGGATATATGTTCTACTATATTTAGACTAAGGGAGTTTCCACGCCTTGTCTTGTAGCCATGGATTTGGTTGCTTTTCATCAATGATTTTATTTAATTCTTCGAGGGAAGATATATTTTTGAAATGAGAAAACGAACTGACCTAGCTGTATCAATCAATGCTGAACTTTGGCGATTGAACTTTGATTAATAGAATTTAATAGTGATAAATATAAATTTTCCAACCTGGTGATATGTTGAAGGGAAGAAAGATCAAAGTACAACGTACGCGTTTTTCTATGCATTAAAATTGTCAGATCTAAAAATTTATGCAAGTTGCTGTAATCAAAAGATCAAAGTCGGAATACATCAAATATTTCACTTCGTCTTACAATTTTCAACATCTAACTTATCGTAAGTAACTTTGTAAGTATGCGGTGAACTTCGGCCTGATATCCAGCCCAGTAATTTAGATAATTTAGTCTCATGATTTTGCCCCTTGCACTTCATCTTTAGGGATATTTTTATTCATCTCAGCTGATGTGAAAGTGTCTGACTCGGCCGTTTTGGTCTCGCTAAGTACCCCTGTCGGCTTTGGTGCATAATCTTGAACTAGTTTGAGAAAATTTGAAAAACCTGAATTTCATACTGATACAAATGAATATTGATGAGGATTGACAGTGTGCACTGGAAAGTTAGATCAAAGAGTCCAATCGCTCAGCACAAGTCTGATTTTAATTACAAGCCCGATTTCTCCTAAATCGTATCACTCAAAGATAGTTAAAAGCATGTTGATTGATGAGTTTATGGATAAAGTAATCAAATTGCGCCTCTCCTCGTTGGATCTCGTTGATAAAAACTCTGTATTTGTACTTGTTATTAAGGTCACAACTGACCCAGACTCAGCTCAGTGATGGTCGTACCCCAGCGTCAAATATCAGTAAGATTATATTAGAAAAAAAAAAAGAAAAGAATAAAGAGTTTAATTAATTTATACAGGAGGGACTCTCCATCATCATCATACATGGAATCACCATCCAACTGCCGTGGATATTAATAGTTCTTCTCCTTGACTAAATGGTGTGAGAACCTCATACAAGTCGTGTCTTGCACAATTCAAATCGAAAGTAATTGTAGAAAAATTGGCCTGCGGCAGAAATGATATTTTGCAGCATTTTTGGTTACGGCGATTGTGTCACGCCTGTCACGCTTCTATTATAGAGCAATAAATGGCAAAGAATTCCATAACAATACAGCACTCTCATTTAAAAGCATAGATGGTGTTGATTCTACATCACTCGTTTTTAGCCCGGTTTCCTTCACTGCCGTTGCTTATTTTCCTATATCTGACGGAGCATGTCAGAGCCTTAACAACAGCTGCCAGAGACTCATTCGATATTAATGAGCAAGCTGATATGTTTTCTCTGAAAACAATACTATGTGCACAGCTCTATTCCCATGTTTCTCTTTTACCAATGGATGAGATCAGATAAAACTACTGTGGGAAAAACTTTAAGACTAATGCAATTTACTTTCAATGTTAACAAAGAAAACGGTCGCTAGCTCCTCTTAGTTGGCGTGCTCAAATCTCAGATTTCAAATCGGCGTACTGCAAACGACGCCTAAACTTTCCAATATTCTTAAAAATGCGTAAGAAAATCGCCAATATTCAGGACCCGTACTTCAGAAACTTTAAATGCGTTCCTCCCATTTTAATGACAGTATTGTTTTATTCTGTTCTCTCTCTCTCTCTTCAGATCACAGTATCTTTTATAACCAGACCGGGGAAGAAGTGGATACAAGATAAGCTTTGGTATATTGTTACTTTATCACTATTGGCTTATAACAATTTAGTGTCGGTGTTTGAAACGTTCAAGGGATATTCTGCGTTTTAATCAAGTATGGCTTCACGCATCTGATATATTTAGCATTTTAAGGTTATTCTTCGGTTGGTGTTGGGCAGATGTACTGCGTCACAGTCCACAAAATATGAGAAGTAAATTGTCTTTAAGGGAATACGAGTAAGTCAAAAATTAATGTCTCGATGTCGTCCCGGAATTTAAATATTAGTTTTACGTCTGAGATAGCAAAGGAACCGAAACAAGTTGAAGTGGGGGAGGGATTGGGGTTGGAAGCGGACCCCTATAACTTCTTGGTGTATGGGTGGGGTGTCTGTAAAACGTGGACCGGATGACTGCGGAATAAGGATAGGAAAGTGCGGATGAAAAAAATTCCGATAGAAAAGCGCGGATGGAAAAAATATATATCTTAAAAAAATGTATTGAACGAAGAATAATAAATAAATTAGGTAAAAATTACCAATGGAACCAGAGTCAACTTATATCAGATGTTAACCATGGCCGACAGATGGCGAGCAAAAATTGTTGCTATCGTGAAAACAAAAATGCAACTCGTGCTACGAAAAATATCACCTTGGAAATGAACAAATTTACAGAAAAGGGATGTCTGCCAAATTTTGAATTGAAATTTTAAGTTTTAGAAAATTTGACGAAACCCCTCACACTCAAAAGTACGAGAAAACTTCTTTAAGAAAAAAACAAAATGGAAGAGAGCCAAACGACAGATCTTGCCGAGGAAAACCAAGCATCGCGAAAGAAAACCAAAGAGGTATCAATGCCGAAAAAAGTCAAGCGACAAAACGGGTCAGGAAGAATAATAACAAGATTCGGAGGACGGATGGTGGAGAGAGAGATTCGCACAGAGCATTTATCGAGTACGTTGGCCATCGTCCGAATCGTCCGAAGGTGATAACGTTCCTAAAAACTTCAACCTGAGTCCAGTTGACAGCCCAAAATTTGGCAAAGCAAATGCAGAATATTGCGTCCATAGCCTCCCTGGACGGCAAATTCTCAAATTCGAGTGGTCGCAAAACAGTCATCCAAGCGCTCCGTTATGATTTCGACCCACTGGAGATCTCAAAGCTAACTGGCCACGCCAATCCGGAATCCATATCCAGCTACAGCCATAATCTTCTGGAAAAACAGCGGCAACGACAACTACCAATGGCGATTCAAGTCATGTTTTACGGGAGATTATTCTCAACAGCTCAGCCCGCCAAGCTATGCAGCAGATACGAGTAACCGTGACAGCCGTGCCAGTCGTTCTAGTTACCTGATGAAAGGGGCAGTAAGCGGGATATTTACTAGTTCGATATCGTAGTTGTTATCACAACTTTATTAAGACTCTTCAGTGCTGTATGGACCATATGCATGCTATACTATGGCTGTGCGGACTACGTATTACATGCCAAAAAATTTGGCAAACGGAAGAGCAAAACTTTTTACATTCATGACCTCATATATAACCATTGACAGATATACTAATCAGTGGCAGAAACAGGATTAAAACTCACACACCTGGAGTCAGAGCTCAAATGCATTTGCCGTAATTGGGTCCCAACTTTAGACAAGCATAGTGCTTGTGTTAGACTTCAAAGCGGTACAATCAATAAAAGAAGGCCTATCCTAGTAGCCCTTTCGCTTATTTCAGGTGTTTTGGTTCTCACGCTACTTATTGTGCAACAGAAAATCCACTGCGTGCAAGCTAAAGACAAAAGAAAAGGGAAGGCTAGTCATCTGACTGACAAACGCTCTGACGAAGGGCTAACGCTCAAAACGTCAACTTTTTTACTCTTTACAGTGGACAATTTCAGTACGTTTTCAACTCAGTTGTTAACACTAAATTAGCTATTATTTCGGCTCAGTCTGAGTCGTATCTGCGAGAACAACAAGTTGGTGTACTTAAAAGTAAGGACAACGTTGAACCATTTTATAATATACACTTAGAGCCGGTAGAACTGAAGCTACAGCAGTGCTGAGTGGATTGTGTAATACATGCAAGAAGACATTGCAAACGGAATAGCAAAACTCTTACACCCGCGACTTTTATAACTATTAATCATATATGAAAATGAAAGTAATATTTTTTTTTCCTGATTAATACCATCACAAAACTTTGTTTCGCCGGGAGTCTTGAGTTTTTTGTAGTAGTTGTCTGATTTTTAAAGCCATAGAGCCAAAAATGTGGAGCCATTTGTAAATACAACGATTCCTTATAGATTAGAGCTATTTTAACGAAATGAGAAGGCACTGTAACATTCTTGAAGACGCAACTTAACGATAATAACGAAAACTCGCATATCCGATGGAAAGCTAAATTCTTTTTTTAGTGATTCCTCGACTCTACTTGTTCTACTGCAAATGATCGCCTCCCCATTTGCCCTCATAAACTGATAACATGGTGAATGCATATGATTATATCTGGGCTGAAGGAAAGAAGGTGTTCAACAATTTTTTGTAAGCCTAAAATGGGATACCGCCAATACGTTAAAGTGGATTTGATTTTCTTCCCCATACTGATGCCTAAATTATTTTCAACATCATTCGAACCCATTGTGACGGCTTTTAAACGAGATAACCGGGCAAATGGCGAGTTCTAGCCTGGTTTTTAGCAAAACTTCCCGACCTTTCAATGTTGTGTGCACTATTCATGATAAACGCAAAAGAAAGACCAAGTCCAATAAAGCAAAATATCTGCAGTCATCATTACAGACAAAATGTATCATGCGGCGATGAAAATAGCATCACAAGCACCCGAGGACATGCATAAACTCTGAGAACGCATCGTCAAGCGAACATGTCGAGGCAGATCTAGACTTAACCTGTATCCACTTTTTTATATTTTTTGCCCACGAAAAGGGGTTAGGACACATGTTTCAAAAATATTCTCGATGTTCTGCTATTTTCTTTCTTTTTTTGCGTCGCCACAAGCCCAAAAATCATGTTTGGCCAGACCGCCCGTGTGGATGGCGATCGAAAGTGTAAATTTCACAGATTTTGTTCAGCGCAGAGCGACTGCAAATAATATAGCCCACGGAATTCTATCTTGTTGCAAGTTACAAGATGTATTCAGTTAGTTCACAGACAAAATATGGAAACTTTACCTAACACATTTTTCATTCCAGCGTGATCAGAGATCCTGATTGATGCATTCTAATTTTATAGATATAAAGATGGATCCACAAACAGCTGTTGTGGTCCAAGTGGATTATCAGGAAACAACGGGATCTTTTTCCACTCAAAAGAAGGATGTTTCTCGAGTACAACCACAGAGGGTAAGAAATTCTTAGGTGAATATCGGTTCAAAGTTTGTTCAATTGTTACCTTATGACATCCATTTTGAAAAGAAAAATTAGATCATCTAAACATAGGGTTTTATTCAGAACCGGGCTCGTCTTGTCTTGTGTGGGTCCCTCTTTCTCATTTATCTTTCAATAATGGTGATGATTATTAGCAATTATTCATCGAGGCGGAAGTTAGAAGTGGTGGATATTTACCTCAACGCATCGCGGCTAAATAATGATATTTTCATTACTCGTCATTCGTTATTCATAATTCGTTTTTCATGATGTATAGTTTTTCATGACGTTAAGGAATAGACAAAACTGGCGCTGGCCCTGACAAGTACTGATTGGTTTTTGAGGGTTTTCTTAATGTTTTCTGCTCCATATGAAAAAAAAAAAACCCTTCCACGGTATCAGTTCACATTTTGTGTTATTTTACCTAAATCATATCACCTTGATGAATTCTAAGTTTAAATCACTTAACTCGTTGTAATTGTCTCTGAAAGAAAATATCTAAAAGTTTGCACACAGGTTGATAGCTCTGTCCCTGTGGGGTCTGCAGATATCTTCTCTGACGGTACCTCCTTTACAATTTTTTTTTCCAGCAGGCGGCGTTCTTTTCATCATCCTGCAGCAGTATTCCTGATCAGTTTTCATTGGCTTTTGCATTCTAGGAAATTCCATGAAACCTTTGTATTTCTTTCCCGAATATAGCAGTATCCTGGCCTTTGATTCACTTGCTCCTTAAAAAATGGCCTGCCATTTTTCTCCTTGGTGCACTTATATCAAAGAATAATTCATTCAATATAACAGATGATAAAAGGTTGACTAGCAACAAAGTAGGAACACAAGGGAAATGAGCCACTTACCCCATCAGATTGTCTCTGATAAATGTATCTAAACTGCCGGTGAATTATAATAGTTTGTAATTGGAATGAATCTGCAAGTTCATAATAGGCTATCCCCCGGCATATTCTCCTAATATTTTTTATCGATTTTCCTAAGTAAATGAAGAAATTATGAAATGAAAGGAAAGCTGTATCTTCCCTGTCTTATTAAAAATTATTTTTCAATCATATCGGCTGATTTGGAGGGCAGTATGCTAGTCTTTGAGCAACTGCGTTACTCAAAAGCGATGAAAGATAAATCATATTTAAGAATGAATCAAGATACCCTAGGACTGTTGTAATGGACTGATATAACCGTGTAACATTTCTCGGTTAAGGAAAAGAGAGGGATTGAGCTTTCTTGCTTACTGAGTCTCGTCTACTTTTGTAGGATCGGGCATTGAAGCTGCTTTTGGCTGTATCGGGGTTGGCGCTGCTCGTTAGCCTCATCAGTCTTGGAGTTAGTGTGGCTGCATTTTACATGAAGAATGGGTAAGGTTTAGAAATTTTATTAATTCAAATCTGATATTTAGTCTGTTAAGCGGATCGTTTGTCTCCTGCTCATTGATAATTGTAAAGGCACCTAACCAACAGCAACCTTTATGCAAGTTTTTTTCAGAATGCAAGCATAACTTTTTCTTTGAGTTTAAAAACATAGTTATATTGTATTTCCCATCCGCGAAAATTGTTGGACCAGTATTTACAATTTTTGCGAACGCATTTCCTTCAAAACGGGTCCGCGATTTCCATAACATAACTTAACATAGTATGAAATCTCATCCTTTCAAATCTAGTATAAACCAGCATCGCGAGGGTGATGATTATTTGCTGTTTCCTTAAAGTATGAAATATTTCTATCTCGGACAGGGAATCGACACCGACAACGTCGCCACTAACAACGTCACCGACAAAGTCGCCACCAACAACGCCACCGACAACGCAAACAAGCATATTTGAAAAGCCTCATCTAGTGCAGACCAGCGCAAAATATCAACTATAGAACCTTGGACAAAGAAGTCACCTTATGTTGAAAAATGATGGTACCGTAGATTGCAATGGGAATTTTGGGGTCCCCGGGAGTAGGTAAATATATCTTTTTTCGGTAGCGCAACTATAAACTGCCCATATCTAATTTTATGATTGTGAGTAAGATCTTTGAAAGAGCTTTCGGAGTCAGTTAAAGTAAAGTACCAGTCAGCTAACAAATGCTTGCACTGAGACAGCTTTATCAAAAGTACAAATCGATATTCTCGATGCAGTAGATGAGAACAAGTTTGTTTGTTCCTCCTGTTGGCTATGTTCATAGGGGTAAGTTTCTAAAGAAACTGTGGTGCTGCGTCGGTGGGAGAGTATAGCAGGTAATTTAGTGTTAACAACTGGGTTGAAAACGTAAATTAGCCACCGTAAAGGGTAAAAAAGCTGACGTTTCGAGCGTTAGCCCTTCGTCAGAGCGATAGCGATCAATCGCTCTGACGAAGGGCTAACGCTCGAAACGTCAGCTTTTTTACCCTTTACGGTGGCTAATTTAGGTTTTCAACCCAGTTGTTAACACTAAATTACCTGCTATGTTCATAGGGTTCGACACAGTCGATACAAACTTTTCGTATTGATTGCGAAATCGTTTTGCATTTAGAGGGCAGTTGACAGGAGGTGATGATAGTGACCACGGTGAGATACCTAAGTTTACTTTGCTTTAGGCCCACAACAGTCACCCAAAAGTTTTCTTGGCACGCATATAAGCATGGGTGCACATGCTGCTTCCTGATTATTCCGGAAAAAACTAGTTCTAATCAGAGAAAGCTTGCTCATCTTAAACAAACCATTTGCTGTACTTCGAGGAAATCAGGCAGAACGCTAGGAAACATAATTGTGAAAATCACCATGGTCAAACTATAGAATTTTCTTTGACCGTGAAACTCTTTAGTTTGCTTCTCCACCTCTCCGTTAATTTCACATCTCACTGAAAGGTTCTCCAAAAACAGATTAAAAGCAAAATCAAATTACTGAAAACCAAAACAAAACAAATGGATAACGACAACAAATGCTACAGATCCGGTAGTCTATAAATCTATTTAGTAGGTCAGTGACGCTTCAGGTATCTGAGATTAGTTAAGAAATTTTGAAAGAAAAGCGGGTTATTATACGAATAT